TCCCCTACATACGAATCTTCAATCTATGAACTTTAAAGATGCACACTTGTTTTTTATAATGTGGCATTTTTCTCCAGCAGGTGTCTGTATAGTCTGTAAATACATAGAGTACTATATAGCCAACTGTGCCAGCTGGGTACCTAGGTTAACTTTGTTGGACATAAATCAAATTAGACTTACAAATGTACTCTCAGAATGGAACTCGTACATATGTTGGGGACTTCCTGTATTCAAAAATGACCATTTTCGCTTTGTATTGGGATTCAAGTCTTGTTTTCATCAAATCATCTCCCAGATGACACATCTCTCTCTTCTTTCATCCCCGACATGGATCCAAGTTGACTCACATGGGGTTCCCTAACCAAATCAATGCCCTGAAAAACCAAACCTTGGCAACAAATGACTTCTATTTTTTTTTTAGATTGGTTGTAAATCTATAAATATTATTGTGAAAATAAGTATCAATATTATTTACTTAATGATCAAAAATTTCAACAATAACCTAAAAAAATTATCATTTCATGACTCCATTACAACGTGCAAACCAAACACAGGTAGAACTTGGGCAAATACTTAACGGGAAATGCAAATGGAAGTTTACATGGCATTTATTTGGTTCAAGCCATTATATAAAATTTGTCCCATAAAACTAATGAAGTGAAACTGCTATTGGTACAGCTAGTTATTGTGCACATGGATTCACAGAGAACACAGGGGCTCTATAAGGGCAGCATAAAGGCCTGTGTTTCTCATTATAGACTCACTTGCCTGTGTTGGCCTGGCTTGCACAAGAGGACTCAAGATTATTTCAAAATACAGGTCCTCATCAAACTGCAGGTGATTTCTTCTTAGTCATTGGAAAGAAGCAATAGATACACGCTTTTCCTATTTTGCAGACTGATTAAAGCTGATTTTCCAAGTCTTTTTCAATCAGACATTGGCTAATTCTGAGAAAGCAGATGTATGATTCAATAAAAAGGAATGACCTAGAGTAGAAGAACCTAGCCTAATTTTCAGGACAGAATCAGGATCACTTAATTGAGAATAGAAAATGTTCAATAAATCTACTGAACCAACTAATTATTATAAGATAATATCTATTGCCCAAAATGTTTTAAGCCTCTAAAATATGCTTACTTTTTTCTAATGCATATTTACTATTCACTGGTTAGGGGAGCAATGTGAAAATAGGCAAATATTCGAAGTTTTCAGATTACAATGCATTCCAACTTCAATTTTCTACTGTTTTTACTCATGAGTATTTGATTAAAAAGTATTGCATAGCTATATAATCAGTTTTTTTAAAAGAACTATTTTTTAATTTTATCAATATTTTTTATTATGATATTGTGGGGTACAGTTAAGGGTTAGGTATACAAATACGTTTCATTCAGGTGTTTCCTCATCCCCAGATAGATATTTGCTACCAAAAATGAAGATACAATATAAGGAAGGAGGGCTCATTGACTGTATTATTTCAATTCTGATATATGTCTCTCTCTCTCTCTCTCTATATATATATATCTTGAACAATTCACCACCAATAATAAATATACTTATATGGATTTTAAATGAGCCCATAGGCAGCTTGCACGTTCACCCTGATTAAAAAGATATAGTGAATTTAGAACAAGCTCTTTATTTAACAGGCTTAAATGCACTTAGCACATTACCATTTTGAGTGAGATTAAAAGTTGAAGTACATTCTGTACTTCATACTTAGACATTTAAAAACGTGGTTTGCATTTTCTCTAAAAGTGTAAATCAAGTTTTAGTGTATGCCTTGATTAAAGAAAATGAATTCTTCGAAAAAATTATTTCCATTCCTCTCCAATAAATATAATTTTGTTTTTACACATAAAATAAGGTATTATAATGATTCCATATCCTATAGAGATAAGACTGAAGCACCAATAAATCAATTTTTATGATTCTGTCATATTTAAAAAAAAAAAAAGAAAGAAGTCCTTATATGAAATCTAAGATGTTCTTTGATGTTTAAGCCTGAGAGTTTCAAATAATTCTTCTGGGAAGAGTCTTCTTTCTTCCTAATCTGCTTCGTTACTGGAGTCAAAACTTTCTTCCTACTCAAATGCTCCAATATCTCCATCGCCAGGTCAAAGGCCTTCTGTAGCTCCCTGTTAACAGAGTAAACCCCAACCTCTCAAGCCTTCATGAGCTGCCCTCAGTCCCCACTCTCCACCTCACATCCTCCCCGAGCACCAGGGAGCCAGGTCCCTCCCCGTTCCCAGGTGTGGCCTTTCCCTTGTACCTCTGCTTGCTGCTCATGCCTTACCTCGTGCTTGGAAGGGCCTTCGTTCTTCACCTCACCTACCATTCACTCTCAACACTTCTCCTTTCTGACCCCACTCAAATGCTCTATTTTCTAAAGTCTCCCTAAACTTAAATCCATCCACTTCCCAGGGTCCTCTTTTTTCCCTGTGAAACTTGATACTTCATGTCTTGTGTGTTCATTGTACAGGCACCTTCCAGAATGCTACGTAACTCTCCAAGTCTACCTCCCTCCTGCCACACCCCACCCCTCATAGCACAATTGCTACACGAAACAGTCTCTTGATTCCTGCTTTTGACCTGATATTTACTTAACAGGCACAGCATGTTAAGTAAATATAACAATATAACAAACTCTTAGGAGCTCAGGCTGTAATATAAAACTGTGCAAATTCAAATCCTGTCTCTATTATTTACCAGCCACAGGATTCTTTCTGTGCCTCAGTCTTCTTTTTGTAAATGCGCATAATAACATAATAAATTCTGCCACATTAGCTTGTTAGAGAATTAATGATTTCACATATGCTAAGTGCACAGCACAGGGTTTCCTAGTAACTACTTTTATTGCTAGCATCACTCAAGATATATTAACTAAAGAAAAAAACCCACATTTAAATAAGTAGATTTTAAAACTCTCTAAATCATGATTTAAACTTGTTTGAAAATAGAGTGATCAATGAAATAATTTACAGCTTCTAATTTGCCAGTTAAGCTGGGGGTTATGGCATTTTAAAGATCATATTTATATCTATATACTAGACAGGAAATTAATCCATTTGAAGAAGGTGTTTTGTGTTGACCAATGAATGTCAGGAAGAGCCCAAACAGACCCACTGTGAGATCTGATTTCTTTCCCAATTTATCAGTTCAAGAGTCAAAATGAATCTGAATTGGAACAGCCAGCAAGAACAACAGCAGGCCAGGGACCCCAAAGTTCCCAAGGAAAAATATGGCCCAGGCCATGCTGCTGCCTTTACAACGTACAGATCATTCAGATCAAGGCTAATTTTTGGATGTGTCACAGTCCTTTTATGTTAGAATCAAATAATGTAAAACAAATCAAGCACTCCCTGGCTGAAAAATCCACGTGTGTGCCCAACCCCCACTAATAAAAAGCCAAGGTCCTTCCAACTTCTTTGGCATTAAAAATCCTCCAGGTTCCTTTCCCACTCCACACCCTACCCCTGTGTCCTTTCCAGTTCCGCACCCCCACCCCTACTCCCCACCTGGCACAAGCCATTCCATCCACAATGATGGCTGCAGAGCCAGCCCAGGAATGTAACTGTCAAGGTCCTGCCTCAGAGCCCTTGAACTTAAGAATTTCCTGCCTGGAAGAGGGAGGATTAAAAAAAAAAAAAACCACCAAGTAGTGTTCACCTAGCAAGGAATAAATGTACTACTAAGGAATTTATCTATAAAAGAGGAGAAATGCCCCCCACTGAAAAAAAGAAAAAGTGAGAGGAGAAAACTGAATTGTAAAGAGGGTCTTTGCTTCTAGTCCCTCCAGCCCTCTCTAAAAGTGTGCCTCACATTCTTGTTACATGTATTCTTACAGGAATAGCTGACAAAATTGTAATAAATAAAGGAGGGAAATCCCAAATTACCATCTCCACGCTGTGAGCTGTGCAGCCTGATGCCCATGGCTCAGAGCATTTGGCAGGAGCCGGCTGTACCAGGGAGCAGATGCTCCAGGCAGCCTCTTCCAGTAACATCAGGGATATGAGAACTTGGGGAGAAATTAACCAAGCGAGTGAAAACAGAAGAAGAGATATTAAGAGGTACAGCATTCCTCCCTCCGTAAACATCATGTAAGCTAGACTAATCTCGTGACTAAATCACACAAGTGCTCCATCCACAAAAATGCACAAATAGCTTTGGAAAAATAAGTCTTTGGGAAGAAATAAAGTCTCATAGGCTGATAAAGTCATAATAAGTCTACAACAAATTGCGTTAATGGTTGGATGAAAAATGGAATTCTTGTTTCTAGAAGAGTACATTTGGAACTCATATTGATGTCCAATTAAGAGGTGAATTCACTCCCCAGGTTTCCACCTTTACCCATGTAAAGACATTCTTTAATGCCTTTTCTTTTGGATAAAATAAATATTTTTCATTCTGCTTTTCTTCTTTGCTGACCCTGTGAATTATCTTTTAACTGGACTGCCAGAACATTCTTCCTTCTCTAGGAGAGACTCTCTGCTTTCTTCCACAAAACATTTTTTGAGATTGAAAGCAAACATGACTATTAAAAAGACAAATGGAACTTTTGGGAAAATGGTCTTTAGTAGAACTGAGAACAAATGTGCAGTTACCAACAATTAATCTTTGAAGAAATATATAGCAAGAAGGAATAAAGAAATGGCATGTGTACTTTTCATTAATAAGTGGAAAATCAGTGATTGATCTATATTCCCTGTAACCAAACAAACTCCCATTTTAAGATGAAGAGATTGAAAATGAATTGAAAGACTGAACAAAATGTTTTGGTTGGTTAAATATATTGGACTGACACAGAAAATATTATGTTTCTTCATATCTGAAACTACTGAAGTACTGGATAAGAATAAGAAATTAAACAGTAGTTTCCTGCTACAGCTAGGATAATTTTTTTTCCAGACTGACACAGATAAATCAACTCAAGACCATAGAAACTCATCAACTGTAAAATGACTCACATTTCACTTTGTTTATTAATAAAGAGAACTTACGGACAGCAAGGGAATGGCAACTTTTCCAAGAAAATCAGGGGGTTTATCTCCATCTTCATCAAACACTGTCACTTCCAAAACATCATGGATATCTTTAATGGGACTGAAACGGAAAATACTGTGTATTACACACAAAAACACACAAGTGAAGCCTGTTCCATGAAGATCTGAAAACACTGTTTCACTAATTAAGCCTGTATGTCCTTAGAGTATAAAACTACCATTTAATTAAATTCCAAAAATTAAATCAAACTGACTGTATTCCCAAACCTTCCATCATAGAAGATTCAGACATCCATATGAAAAAAGAAGTCAACTTTTTTACTATGACATTTTTCGTATAGTGTAAATGCACTCAAGGGTAGGACTATTAAGAAAACAAGATAAAGAAAGAGAAGGGAAAAAGAAGAAGCAGGGCCAAAGGAAAGTGATTTCAAACTTTTCAAATGAGAAGAGTTAAATTAACTTTTTTAATTCATAAATTCTCTTTATGAAAAAGGTGTTAAAAATCACTGCTTGCTGAGATACATAGAAAGTCTCTTTTGTTGAAACACAAAATACTAAAAATATCTTAAAACCTTTTTTACATTGACCAGAAGCCAGACATCAGTGACAATGAAAAATGGTGCCATGGCCATTGGCAACATGTTAGGAAAACAAGAGACTCTTACATCTGGCATTTGGCAAACCTGTTTAGCAGAGTTAATCCACTTCTCATAGATCCTTGGGAACTCTCTACTAATACCATCAACTCTACTCAGAATGAACTTTATTTTTTCACTCTATAATCACAGAGCATTTATTTAGCTTTGTGGGGGCAGTATACTGCCATTTTACCCAAAATCAACAGCAGCCTCCCTTTGATGGTCAGGTGCCTTGGAATCTAAAGCAAACTAGGAAGCTTAAATATATCATCTCCTAAATGCCTGAGTTTGATAGAGTGGGCTGGGCATTGCTATGGAGTAGGTCACTGATAAACTGGAATACAAGGAGCCTTTGGGAGTCTTCAAGATTCAAAGATGATCTGTCTTTTCAAAAGACTCTAGTCAAATACAAGCCTTCAGACATTAAAATAGTGTTATAACATATAAGTTCCTTGAATTTAAGGCAGGTCTCCATTAGTAACTTTCTTTAACCCAGGAATGAATTAATTTAGATATATGGGGACTTCCATCTACTCGTAGATTCATTTAGTCACTAAAAGATCTACTTACAAATGCCTCCTATAACACTCACTCACAGTTGTGAATGGTCTCGTCTATTATTAACACCACACTCTATAAAATGAAAGGATAAAAGGTTTTTGAAAGGAAAAAAACAATAAAATCCACTATTTGCCCATAAAAATGAACAGAAAGTTCCACTCAAGAGCCCCAGCCCGCCTCAAGCATAGCAGGGATAATTGCTGTCTAAGTTAGAGTCTCTCCTCAGTATTCTGGAGGCTGAAGCACTTACAATGTAAAAACTTTGTTCCACTCAGGGTTGAGGTTTTTGTAAATGGTATGTGTCTGAAGTCGGTCATTGCCTAACTCCAAAAGGCAAAAAGGATCACTCTTTCCTGAAAAGAGAAAACAGGCATTGGTCAAAGACAAGTGAACCTCAAAAGGGACTGAGGCAATGTGAACAGAAGTCATTCAAAACTTTTATAACAATAAACTATGGTTGCTGGAAAGAGGGAAGGCAAGATTCCTTTTCCAACAAGCCACGTGGAGGCCCTGCATGAGAATTTGGGGTCTGGGCAGTGCCTACAAGGGTTGGAACTTAAGCATACTTAATGGGTTGAGACTGATACACATTCCAGGATACGGCCTTGAAAGCCACTGACCACATAGGTTTCCCAGGAGTGAGGATTCATTTGGCATGTGAGAGAGCCCACTTCTCTGTGTTAAAAATGAAACTCTGGCCAGGTGAGGTGGCTCACGCTTGTAATCCCAGCACTTTGGGAGGCCAAGGTAGGAGAATCGCAAGAACAGTCTGGGCAATAAAGTAAGACTCTACCTCTAAAAAAAAAATTGTAAAAAATAAAAATAAAAATGAAGCTCATCTCTATTTCTTTCCTAATATCTCTTTAAGTCAATTTGGGTGACTACTCTTCTATAGCTGGAAGACCTATTATAGGCTTCCATGTGGCTATGAAAGGAAGTGACAAAAAGTATGCAAATAGTTCTTTAAGAGTGAAAACTCTTGTCCTGAACAAATGCTCACAAACATGCATGATCCTATATATTCAATACATTTTTGTTTAAAAGTACAATTAACAAAGGTCAGAATTTTTAACTTAAACAAAAATCTCTTTCCTTAATTTTCCACCCTATCTCCCATATCCTCAAAAAACAAACAAACAAACAAAACCCTAAAATTGTACCCAGAGAATCACTAAGTAAAAAACTCACTGCCCTTTGTTGGGTTTGGCAGAGGGATCTTGAATTGGAACCGTCAGGGAAAGAACGAATGGTTCCATAATGTCCATGGGACATTAAGACATTGGCTGCCTCCACAGCACACTGGCACTTCACAAAGCAGTGCTTGCTAAATTAATTGGGGGCACAAGGACAGATGCTTCCCCAACAGACGGTCAAGGAGTCCTGAGGCAGAGCTTAAGACAGAGTGCTCAGGCCTCTTAACCTACTGGCCTACCATTCAGGTCACTGAACCTACATCTAATTCACCTAATAACCAGGAACTCTGAGATACTGCACATCAATAGAGAGATAGTTGTGTATGGAGCCTGCATGAAGATTTGTTTTTTAAAAATGAGAAGAAGAGCAGATGCATGGATGATGGCCAGTGATTCCATTCAATTGACTAGTGGCCTGGGCACTTAGATGCCTAGCCAGAAATATTAAGTCAATGCCATTATCTCAGTTATCGATAGACAGCCATCAAGCCATGGGCACACATGAACGAGTTAAGAGTTCTCTGTTGCAAACAATGAAAATGGTTCCTGTCTAAATTTAGCAGAAAAGGAATTTATTAAAATAATACCAAACAGCTCTCAGAATTCCTACATTGGGTGGAAAATCAGGGTCAGAAAAATCACTATAAACCAAAGGCACAAAAAAACTGAGCCAATATCCCAACCCAGGAAAAGTCTGGTGTGGCCTCTACTTTCCCAGAATACTGGTCCCAAAAGGAACTCCTGTCCCCAGACCCAACTGTGGCTGCTTCTAATATGAATTCTTCACTCCTGCATCTTTGTCTCACTTGATACAAATGCAAAGTCCTCTAAGGACTCTCTCACATGGCCAAGGACCCAGGCCCAAATTGCCAGGGCTCATAAAGGGAATACTGGTTTTCAGCTTCTGTGAGTAAAAGTGAGCTCTGGCACCTTCTCCAAAGCATATAATCAGAAACGCCTCAAACACAGAAGGGGTTTCAGATGCTGAACAGTCAAAGTCAAACTAACAAAAATCCATCTGCATCTGCAAAATGTCTTGCTTATTTAAAGACAGATTACTCTGGGCATGTGTTTTGCAGCAGCTCAGGTCAGGTTGAAAGGGAATAAGTCTGGCAATGTAGAGTAACACATTTCCTCTTCGACATCGTGAACAGAAACCACGTGCTTTGGCTTCATGCTCAGGTATATCACGCTTGATTCCTCAACCCAGGCTGAAACAGCTACTTAACCGTTTGTCAGACTATTAGTAGGTGTCAGCACTGCTCCTCCAGAGACACCAACATGACATGCCATCAGCACTTGCTCCAGGGAAACTGTCTGAAACTTTTAATGAAAGCCCTGGGATTACTCCACAGCAGGGCAGAGATGTTGCCTGGTCCTGTGGAGGCACAGGTGGGCTCGAGCTGCGGCTCCCACTCTCTTAAGCAAGCACGCTCTTAGCTATCCCAGCTAATGAGGAACAGACTTCCCTCCAGAAACCGGGAACTTCAGTTACGTGTCTCCAAGGAACACACCACACCAATTCTCTGAAGATAATTCCGTCAAAGCTCATTAAAATGCTGCATTTATTAATATTACAGTATAAACAGGCAGAGAGAAGCAAGAAACAAAGACATTAAAATGTTTATAGAGTAATTTACGTACACTTTATGGATTGATTTCTTTCTCTTAAAAGGTTTCAGATATATGGGGCCTTTGAATAAAATTTAAATAACAAATATTTTTATTTGAGATAATTATCTCCCATAATAACTGAAATGTCCAAATGTTCCCCAGTGGTACTGAGAGACCAGCACCAGGCAAACTGACATACCTACGTTCGGGGCTGTATGTTTCCTCTTTGCGCCACGTAATTCACAAGTAAGACACCAAGGAGGCCTTTTCTATGTCCAGATGCCATGTCACCTTGACACGGTTACACCACTGGCGATTCAGTTTCATGTTGCAGTTTTAGCACTTTGCATTCAATAACCTCTGCTATTTTCCAACACAGCTTCAAAATTCGTTTGTATTTCTTGATCAGCAAAATAGGGGGGTTCCATTTAAATAGTTTTAGCTCTTGATCAGTTATAGAAATTGAATGACAAGTAATAAATGTATTTCGGGGTTATATAATTCACTTGACAACTACTTATAAGCACCCACTCTGTTTCGAGTGCTGAACTGGGCCCAGACATACAATGATCACTAAGCCTTTACTTACAGGGAACTCACAAGGGTTTCTGCTATTCTGCAAATGCAACCATTGTTGAGAAAACTTCCCTCTCACTCCATAGCAAACTGAGTTGTTTTCATCTCTGATCTCTGTGCAATTGTCCCTACCCTCTTATATCCCACAGCTCAAAATTTCCATCCCACAGTATGCCTGTATATTTCATTTACGATCCTGATGCAGGCATAGCCAATGTATGTGTGCCCTTAGCATCCCACAGGAGGAATGCCACAACCCAGTGACAGAGGGCAGTGGAGAAACTCAGATGAGAAAATGAAAGTTCAGAGAAATGCAATTTTGTTGAGAAAAAGTCCAGAAGTGAATCCAAACCAAGGTTTAGAAGAAGAGTGCTGGCGAGCAGAAATGGGATAGGTCCTTCTTGAGGAGATGAGATAGATGAAAACATCAAATATTTTAGAAAGATTATATAAATATATACATAGACAAATAGTGGCAATCAGAAAATGAACATATGGCTGAATATACAAAGATTGGCTTGACGATCAAGATGAGTGTTTTTCATTTATTTCATTTCATTTTACTCATTCAGCAGTTGGGAGCTACCATAGATGGACAATACAAGGAGCAGCACTATAAGAAAGCATTTTTGGATAATTCCTGAAGCTAAATAGGAACACTGTAGCTCAGAAAGGTCGAGGAGTGTGGGGAGAGGGAAGAGAAGAGGAAGGGAGCAGCAGAGCCATTCCAGAGGAAAATTCCTAACTCTACTTTCATGTCTTATTTCCAACCATTTGCTTATAAACCTTACTATCACATATTGGAGCACATTTTAGTTGATATCCTGAGAATCTATATTCTCTGTCAACTTACCGTACACTGTCTATCCTGATCGACCCCATCTGTTGACCGTTTAGTAAGATTACTGTCTCTTTCCTTCTCCCTCAATACTACTAGGTTGCCCACTAGTCCTGCACAAGGAGGTACAGGGCTTATTCTGCTTCCTGCTTTGCTTGAGGAATGGCCTTTCCCTGCATACTCATCCAGTTGCTCTCCAAAAATAAAAATGCCAACTAACTTCCCAGGCCTAATTTAAACAAGTTTTCTTTGTGGAACTTTCCCTGCAACTTCCAGGGTACCACTCCCCTCCCAGCTCCTGTGATAAAGAGTTTGGGTATTAGAATGCCTCCTGCGTGATGTACCTGCTCACTAGTTCAACAACTACTTAATGATCCCTTCAGTGTGGAAAACACTGTGCTAGAAGCTGAGAGGAGTTTTTTGTTTTTTTTTTTTTTTTGAGTCGGAGTCTCACTCTGTCGCCCAGACTGGAGTGCAGTGGCCGCTCCCGGCCACCGCAGCCTCCACCTGCTGGGCTCCGGCGATCCTTCCGCCTCAACCTTCCAAGTAGCTGGAACTACAGGCACACGCTACCATGCCCGGCTAGTTTGAGAGGGGTTTTAAAGAAAAAGGAAACATTGATCTCTGTTCTTGGTGGGCCTAACTTTTCACATACATCCTGCCTTTCCAAGTGGGTTCCGGGTTTCTCTAGGACCAAGAATGTCTCGCTCAGCATTATGCAGGCTAAGACCTGCTCACTTTGCCGTGATAAATGTCTATGACAAGGGACAGACAAGTCTAGTACTGTGAGGACAGCAGAGGAAGTGAGTGACTCCTTTGTGTTTTTCTTTCTCTTGTATGTGTTTTTGTTTTTGTTTTTAAATTGAGGCAGTGCTTCACTCTGTCACCCAGGCCAGAGTGCAGTGGCATGATGATAGCTCACTGCAGCCTTGAATTCCTCAGCTTAAGTCATCCTCATCCTCCTGCCTCAGCTTCACGAGTAGGTAGGACTACAGGCATATGCCACCATGACCAGATTTTTATTTATTATTATTATTTTTAGGGAAGGAATCTTGCTATGTTGCCCAGGCTGTTCCTAAACTCCCAGCCTTAAGTGATCCTCCCCCTTCAGCCTCCCAAAGTGCTAGGGTTA